TAATCCCTGTCCCTGGTTCAGCCACACCTCCACCATCCATCCAGCTTAAGGTACTACCTTCTTTAATGTTACCCACTTTCGATATCTCGGCTCCCACCTGTCCACCACTGCGGACAGCTGAAATTATCTACAAAGTTGCCGTGTATATCGAGCAGTGGTCCTTCCCACCCTGCTATATGGCAGTGAGACATGGGTCACATACAGGAGGCACCTCAAGGAACTTGAAAACTTTCACCAACGTAATCTACGTTCCATCCTCAGAGTTCGCTGGAAAGACAAGAGAACCAATTCCAGTATTCTTGCTGACACCAACTGTAAGAGCATGGAGGCTACCATTATCTATGAACAACTACGCTGGACTGGCCATGTTACCCGCATGGATGACAGTCACCTAACGAATAATAAACGTAATGCCGGAGGGCAACTGAAAGGGTATAAGGATGGTCTTAAGACAAACCTGAAAAAGTGCCAAATTGACTTCTTCCTGAGACGATTACTCCACACCGTAACGGCAGGGGATCACCATACCAGAAGATGTCAATACATTCGAGTTGGCCCGACTGGAAACCGGGCGAACAAGTGCCAGTGCCGGAAAGACGCTGCCACCGCTCCTCCCGCACTAGATGTAGCCGCTCCTCCCGCACTAGATGTAGCCCTCCACATGTGCAGCATCTGTGGACGACTCTTACTGTAGACTCTTTAGTCACCTTAAAACTCACCAACCTAGGGGACATCCTTAATAACTTATATCATTGTATCATAGTTGGATGATCGTCATACTCATTCGAGTGACAGCAAAGCAGTGTGTGTGAGCCTGCATGCGTTATATGTGCATTTTGTGTGTGTGTGTGTGTGTGTGTGTGTGTGTGTGTGTGTGTGTGTGAGAGAGAGAGAGATGTGCACTGGTATGGCATCCGAACACTGTTGCTGTCGCACTACCCAGGGTTTCTCGACACCCCCACGCCCTCCCCTACCCCCTCCTCCCTCTACCCCATCCCTCCTCCTCCCCTCACCCCATCCCTCCTCCTCCCCCTCCTCCCTCCTCCTCCCCTCCTCCCTCCTCCCTCCTCCTCCTCCTCCTCCTCTCTTCCTCCTCCTCTCCCTCCTCTTCCCCCTCGTCCTCCCCTCCTCCTCCTCGTCCTCCTCCTCCTCCTCCTCCTCCTCCTCCTCCCCCCTCCTCCTCCTCCTCCTCCCTCCTCCCCCCTCCCCCCTCCTCCCTCCTCCTCCCCCCCTCCTCTTCCTCCTCCTCCCCCTCCTCCTCCCCTCCTCCCCCTCCTCCCCTCCCTCCCTCCCTCCTCCCCTCCCCCTCCCTCCTCCCTCCCTCCTCCCTCCTCCTCCCCCTCCTCCCCTCCCCTCCTCCCTCCCTCTTCCTCCCTCTTCCCCTCCCTATGCTTGGTGAGTACACATCTGAGAATAGAGTGTGATGATGTTATTGTCACTTCACACACACACACACACACACACACACACACACACACACACACACACACACACACACACACACACACACACACACAACAACACACACACACACACACACACACACACACACACACACACACACACACACACACACACACACACACACACACACACAACACACACACACACACACACCTCCCCTCGGGTTCCTGCCAGGCTCCTCAGTGTATACACAACATTCATACTTCCCAAGCTCTATGCCTCCCCACCTGGTCTTCCTCCCTAAATGCCACACAACGTAAACACCTTGAAAAAGTGCAAAGGGCATGCAAGATTATTCTCTCCTTCCTACTCCACATATCAAAAATAACCCACACTGACCCTTTCGACTCTCACTGACCATCACCACGGCCTCATCTGCCAAATTTGGTGAAGCTTCTACACCATCCCCGACACCGGCTCCTACTACCACCTGAGATCCCCTGTCCGAGAATTGCTGTTCGTCACCACAACCGCATCCAGCCCATACGTTACCTGAATTAGCTATAAGAACAGCCCAGTCCCAACCATTGTAAAAATTATCAATAACATGTAATAAATCAGTGTATTCCTCCCAGTAAACACTGCTCCTTACACTATCACTGTGTTGAAATGAACTGTAGTTTGAGCTGATCCCCATCTAAGCTATTATATGTCTTATTTGTGTCATATGTTACTTGTATATTATTTGTAATTCGTAACCTACACAAATATGTAACTGTATATTTTCAGCCTTCTGGCTGCCAAGCTCTTTCAATAAACCGTTAATTATTATTATTATTATTATTTATTATCACACACACACACACACACACACACACACACACACACACACACACCATCTGTGAGGTACACCACACGTAATCCCCTTACTTCCATCTGTGAGGAACTACTACACCACGTGAGGTCCCTCCTAACACCATCTGGGAGGGAACTACACCACGTGAGGTCCCTCTAACACCATCTGGGAGGAGTTACTACACTACGTTTTTGCTGTTCCACTACATTAATCTGAATGTTCACTGTATGTTCCTTTACC